TCATGAAAATCATATAGACCAAGAAGGTAAGGAAAGGTTATGATATATAGTTTAGTGGGAGAAATATCTACACTGGTCACATTATAGATCCATCAATGTACATTTTGTATGTGCAATGTGAGTAGAACTATCCCTAGAGTACTGTGAATAGAATTGCCATCCTGAGCTCCATGATTTAAGTGATCCTTAGTATTGTTTCAAACTATCTCATCTCTTCCCAAGCCTCCCAGGGCATCTCTTCCTGAATGCTCTCAACTGAGGGCCTTGACACATACCTCACAGAAGCCATCTCCCATCTCCCATCTCCCCTTCTCATCACACGTCACTCAGAGATCACCCACTGTCTCCTCTCCAGTCTCAGATGAAGAAGTGGCATTTCACTAAGGCAAACCCCTCTACATGTGTCTTAATTTCATCCCCTCCTGTTTTGTCTAGTATTGCCACTATTATCCTCACTTTTTCTTATCTTGATTCTCTCCCTATCTATGGATTCTGTCCCTACTGCCTAAAAACACATCTCATATCTTAAAAAATAAACCCTTACTTGACCCTACCCTCCCTTCTAGTTTTTATTCTCTATCTCTCTGTTGTTAAGTTTCTTGAGAAAAGTTGTCTTGACTAGGTTTTGCCATTTGATTTTCTCTCTTTCTTAAACCCTCTACAATCTGTTTTCTAATTTCATCATTCAACTGAAACTTCTCTCTCTAAAGTTACCAATTTTTTTTAGTTTTGTTTACTTTTTTTATTTATGGAATATTTATTTAATTTATGGAATAAAACAAGCATTTCAACAACATAGTATAATGAAAAAAATGATCATACATGGAACTGCAAATCTATTTATGTACAACTTGCTACTCCTTTTAAATATATAATAAAGTTATCATGTAAATTTCTTTTTTTCCTTTTTTCCCTCCCCTAACCCTAGAGGTGGCTACCATTAGACACAAATATGTATATATGTAAAAATCATTCTATACATACTTCTATTTATGAATTCTTTCTCTGGATGCAGACAGTGTCTTCCTTCATATGCCCTTTGTAGTTAATTTGGGTATTTATAATAGTCAAAATGACTTAGTCATTTAAAGTTGTTTTTAAAATAATATTGCTGTTACTGTATATACTGCTCATTTTACTCTTCATTATTTCGTGCAAATCTCTCCATGTTTTTCTAAGATCATCGAACTCATAATTTCTCAATTGCATTTTTTTAATCCTCATTCTTCTCGATTTTTCTACAGCATTCGTCATGATTGGTCTCTTTTTCTCCTCTGTATTTTTTAAATTAATTCATATTGATATGTTTTAATTTTACAATTTCCCCTTCTCATTCTCTCTGCCATAAAGCTATAAAAAGAATACTTTTGAAAAGAATGGGAAAAAATGAGCAAAATTAATCAATACATTAAAAAATCTGACAACATATGTAATGATAATTCCATATTATCTCCACAAGGATTGGCAGGGAGGGATGGGGGTAGTGGGGAGAATGTCTTCTAAATCTCTTCTTTGTAATTTCACAACATCCACATTTGATTATTTTGTGGTTCTATTTACATTGGTATAGGCATTGCACATATTGTTTTCTTGACTCTGCTAACTTCATTCTATATCAGTTCATACAAGTCTTTTCCAGGCTTCTCTGTATTCATAATATTCATAGTTTCTTACAGCAGAGTGATATTCCCTTACATTAATATGTCACAATTTGTATGGCCATTCCCAATTTGGTGGACATCTACTTTGTTTCAAATTCTTTGCTACCGGAGGCAGCAAGGTGGCACGGTTGATAGAGCTCTGGCCTTGGAGTCAGGAGGACCTGAGTTCAAATCCGGCCCCAGACACTTGACACTTACTAGCTGTGCGACTGTGAGCAAGTAACTTAACCCTGATTGCTTTGCAAAAAACAAAACAAAACAAAAACTTCATAAATAAAAAAAAAATCAAATTCTTTGCTGCCACAAAAAATGCTGCTATAAATATTTTCTTGCATATGGGGACATTGTGCTTACCAATAAATTCATTGGGTAATATATTTAGTAATGGAATCTCTGTATCAAAATGTATGAGTAGTTAATTACTTTATTGCATAATTTGCATAATTCCAAATTGCTTGACAAAATGGTTATACTGACTAACAGTTCCACCAACAATGCGTTAGTGTACCTAACTTCTTCAGCCAGGTTGTACAGTGGATAAGGTGCTAGACCTGAGCTCAAAACCAGCCTTAGACATTTAATAGCTGTGTGACCTTGGGCAAGTCACTTAACCTTTGTCTGCCCCAAGTTTCTTCAACTATAAAATTGGGACAATATTAGTGCCTACTAGGCACTAAGGTGTCATGAGGATCAAGTGAGAGTATATTATAAATAATGTAAAGCTCTTAGCATAGTGCCTAATACATAGTAGGCGCTTAAAAATGCTTGTTTTCTTCCTTCTTTTGATACTGACTATTCTCATATTTTATCATCTTTGCCAGCTTGTGTGATTTGAGGTGAAACCTCAGGGTATTTTTGATTCACATTTCTTTTATTCTTACTGATTGGGGGGCACTCTTTCATGTCCTTTCTGGGTTTTCATGACATTGATCCTGGTTCACTTTTGATTGGTCCACCTGCTCCTTTTCAGTCACCTTTGCTGGTGAGTCATCCACATCATATTGATTAACCAAGTATATCCCCCAAGAGTCTTTCCTGGGTTCTGTTTCTCTGTATTCTTGCATCACGATCTCATCAACTTCCATGGGTTCTAAGCAACTCGATGTGGATAATTTTCAGATCTACATTACAGTCCTGAACTAGATCAGTCTTACATCACCGATGTAAGTCAGTCCTTTTGAACTGGATATCTCATAGGCGTCCCATCACGAGCTTCTCTTCCAAACTTCCCTATTAGTTTTAAGGGCACCACCATCCTCCTTGTCACCTAGGCTCAAAATTTCAATATCATCACCTCATTCTTACTTATCCTACATTACCCAATCCTTTGACAAATTTCATCATTTTTAAGATTTCATGACATTCATTACATGTCACATCTGTCCCTTTCTACTTATAAAACCACCAGGGCAACTAGGTGGCTCAGTGGATAGAGTGTCAGGCCTACAGTCAGGGAAACTTATCTCCGTGAGTTCAAGTCTGGCCTCAAACACTTACTAACTGTGTGACCTTGGGCAAGTCACTTAAGCCTGTTTGTCTCAGTTTCCTCATCTGTAAAATGAGCTGGAGAAGGAAATGCCAAACCACTGTAGTATATTTGCCAAGAAAACCCCAAATGGAGTCACAAAGAGTCAGACATGATTGGAAAACAACTAAACAGCAACAACTATCTTTAATCCATTTCCCTTAAAAGGCAGGAGGGGTGATGGAGCAGTTGGTGGTGCAAGAACAAGTTCAGGCCCTGAGGGGAGCCTTCAGGTTGGTCTCCCTGCCCCAAGTCTCTCCTTATACCAGTACATCCTCCACCCAATGGCTAGAGTGATTTTTCTAAAGAGTAGTTCTGACAATGTCACTCTGGTGTTCAGTGAGATCCAGGGGCTCCCAATTACCTCCAGAATAAAAAATGAAGTCCTCTATTTAACATTTAAGGCTCTTTATAACCTGATCTCTTTCTATCTATACTTTGCTCCCACCAAGAACTCTCCAATCAAGCCACACTGGTTTACTTGCTGTTCCTCACGCATGACAGTCTATTTCCTAACTCTGTGCCTTAGAATCCCCATGCCTGGGTTTTTCCCCCTCCTCAACCTTTTTTCTCTTAGTCCTTTGGCTTCCATCAAAACTCAACTCAAATCCCACGTTCTGCAGAAGGTCTTTCGTGGCTGTCTAGCTGCTAGTGACTTTTGCTCCAGGATTACCTTCCATTTACTCTATATATCATGTATGCACCTAATTATTCACATATTATCTCTCCCATTAGAATGTTAACTCCTTATGGAAAGGGACTATTTTTGCCTTTCTTTGTATACTTAGAACTTAACATAGTGCCTAGTATGTATTAAGTGTTTAATAAATGCTTATTGACTGACTACCAGTGGCATGGGGCAGTGACTCACTCAGGAATAAGGAAAGGAGCTAGCTTCACTAGCTATGGGATAAAAAAAAAAAAAAAAAACTTATCTGAAGCTTATATACATAAAGTCAGCCCATGACCAAGGCAAAGTCCCTGTCTACTTCCCCTTATCCATAACAAGGCTCCATTTTGTCTTTCTGTGACTTCATTTACCATTCAAACCAGCATATAGGGTTGGCATTAGATGGAAGTTAAAGATTATTTTGCAATAGTTTACTCTAGATATCCCAGGGGACCCCTGGAATCTTTTGAGTAAAGGAGATGTGGTCAGATGTTTGATTTAGGAAACTCCCTTTAGCAAATCTGCAGAAAATGGATTGGAGAGGGGAGAGATTTGAGGTAGGACGACCATACCTTTGCTCATGGTGCAGGGGGTTTTAAACATTTTTGTGTGTATCATGGACCCACCTGACAGCCTGCTGAAGCTAGAATTATGTTTCTAAATACATGAAATAAAATAGACAGGATCACAAAAGATGTTAATGAAAATAAGACTTAATTTTCTTCCTATCCAAATTCGTAGATACCTAAAATCTATCCATGAACCTTTGAGAGATCAGTTAATCTCAGGTTAAGAATGCTTGCCTTAGTCCTTTGGAAAGTTTCCTACATTTTATAATTTTCTAGGATGAAAAAAGTCTTCCAAATGCTTTTAAAATTGATATAATATATTTCCCTATGCCCGCTGTTATCTCAGAAAGCTATGTCAGCTTTGCTCAGGTATCACCACAAAGATAATCTTTTAGAAAGTTGTGAGTCACTGAAAAGAGAGAACATTAATTATGGCACTCCACATTATTTCACAGTGAAAGCAGGCCCAAAAAAGTGTTTTATTGATGATCACAACAGATTAAAGAGAGGGTTCTTGAAATACTCCAAATTGGAACTTGTTCTTCTTCACTAATATAATTTTCTAATGATTGTAGGTATTGGTGCCAGCCCCTATGTGATGAACTGCAATGTGACAATTGACTCTCAAGATTTGGCTACAGGAAAAAAGATTGCAAGTGCGATCAGAGGCTCCAATGTGGATGGACTAAAGGGTGTTCAAGCTATGGCTTTTCCTCATTGTGGGAAAATTGAAATTGCTTGTAACGTAGAGAGTTTTGAAGATCAAAATCCTATAGAAAACACCGGATATATAACATACTGTATTCTTGGGCATCATTATTCTTACATTTCTCCTCAGTCTCTAGAGGCTCAAATTAAAAAGCTGGCTTGTGATGAGGGAATTAGCACTGTTGGAACAGCATTGGTTGGGTTTACACCTCAGGAGTGCAAAGACTGCGCTGAATATGCTCTAAGGAAAAAGATTGGAGAATTCTGGAAGAAACGAGAGGGCATTTTCATGTGACTCCAGCAAATGCTTTTGCATTAATTGGAAAGTGGCAGCCTCTACCAAACCCTTTCTTCATTCAGTAAAGATGAAAAGAAAATACACAGAGGTTGGATTGCAGCTGCAATAGGAAAATAGTATCTGTAAATGTCAACAAAAAATGGCCTTGTGATTCTGCTATGATCATCAGGAGCACTTAGCTACCATGTGGTAATTATGAAAAATCTTGGAAGAAAAAAATCAGTCCTTGGAAAAAGAAAAAAAAAGTGTGTGTGTACATATATATCCACTAATTGATATAAATAAGGGCAAAGATAGACTTTATTTACTTAACTATTCATTCTGAAGCACCTATACCTTCTGTTTCCAGCAGGTTCTCAATACCTTCTAGCATTACATGTGTATTGTTGGATAAAGTGATGCTCTTGAAGGCATGAGAGACCTGGATTCAGATTTTGTGTCACAGATAAATCACCTAAACTCTTTGAGCCTTAGCTTTCTCATTCACTGAGGAAATGGAATAATATATTAAATACTTACTTTACAGGGTTGTTGTGGCATTTGAAGATAATATGCGTAAAACACTTTATGAACCTTAAAATATTGTAACTATGTATGGGACAAAAAGGAAATGTGCCTTAAAAGATTACATAAATCAGAACCATAACTAGGAATTCTAGCACCTGTGGCCAGGTCTGAGTGAGGGTTGGAGATGCTTCAGGTTTGACACATCTGTGTGGTTGAGAAGTATTGGCTATGGAAATCAAGGGGGGTTGAGGAGATAGAACTATAACTCTGTAGTGTTCGGAAGTCCAAGGATTGGGGTGGAAAATAAAACTAAGCCAGATACTGAAATTACTGTTGAAGAAGCTGAGTGATCTGGAGGTACACAGGTTGGAATGAACTTTAAGGTAGGAGAAGTGGTTGCTGAGTGATGATGGCAGAAAGAGGGTCTGAAATGAGGAGGAAGGAATATGTCAACTTCTCTTCCCAACCCTGAATGTGAGGGGCTGTGGTAGAAAGAACCACTTTTCAAAGAATGCCAAGGGACGTGATATGTTCAGGAGGAAGCGAGGTTTCAGTGAATACCAGAAGATAGAGGATTATGAAAGTCAGTCAGCAATGTTTACTACGTGCCAGGCACTGTGCTAAATAAGAGGGATACAAAGTAAGGCAAAGTATGGTCACTGCCCTCAAAGAGCTCACATTCTAATAAAGGAGACAATGTGCAAGCAACTATGTGTGTGTGTGTGTGTGTGTGTGTGTGTGTGTGCGTGTGTGTGTGTATGAAGTATTCCAGAAGAACTAGCACCTCTGGTGTGAGGTTTTGTCGAACCCTTTTCAAGGTTGCTCATCCATCTTTGGTGGCTCCAAGAAGCTGTAGCCTTCACAGCAGCCACACCCCGGTAAACCATATAGGCAGACAGGCTAAACCAGGTTGGGGGTAACCAACAGGCCTCAAACCTGTTAGTAAGTTAGAGGGGTGTCTACCACAAGCATGTGAAGACTTTCCTAGGCAGAATGGGTGGATGAAACCAATTTGTTCCAGGGGCCATGAAGGCAGCTGAAGCAGGAGCTGTGGAATACTTACAGCTTGGTCAGACATTGAAAACACCAAGGTCATCCACTATATCCGTGGACTTCCACGACTCTGGAAGAGAGAGTGAGGCTGATGACTTTGTGCAACTCTGCCTCACTTAAATCCAATTCATGTACAAGTTAAGACATCATGCCATGATATCATTAGTCTTCTTCAAACAAAGAGTAAACAATATATGTGTGTCTGTGTATATATGTACACATACATTTATATACATACATACATATACACATATAGTATAATAGAATATATAACATATAATAACATGTTATATATTATATATAATGGCATACACACACATACACATATACATATGAGGTGGCACTGAGGAGGTTGAGGAGGCACTGAGAAAGGCCTTTTGTAGAAGATAGGATTTAACTTGAGTTTTGAAGGAAGCCAGGAGGCAGAGGAGAGACAGGAGAACATTCCAGGCATGGGATAGAGCCAATGAAAAAGCAAAGAGTTATGAGGTAATGTGCAGTGAGAGGTCTAGGATGGAATAAAGTTTAACAACCAACAGGCTTTTATTAAATATTTGTTAGTCTCTAGAAACAGAAATAGAAAAATTATACATTCTCCTGGAAGAAGTGAGGGCTGAGGAATATAGGGAATTGTCCCATAGTAATTAAAGTCCTAGGTATTATTACTATTTTTTGCCACTAATGAACTATATTAATTCCTAGGTTAATAATAGCAATAGTTAGCATTTATAACTCTTTAAGATTTGCAAAAATATTATTTTATTTTATCCATATAGCAATCCTGGAAGGTATGTCCTAATATTATTCTCATTTTACAGATGAGGAAACTGAGACTGAGAGAGGTTAAGTGGCTTTCCCAGGGTAGCAGAGCTAATAGGTATCTGAAGTTGGATTTGAGTTCAGGTCTTCCAGCTCTAGTACTCTATCCACTGTATCACCTAACTGCCTATCAAATTACTGGGAGTGAGTCTGGACATCTTTAGGGTAGATGATTATCTATTTTGTTTTAATAGATACTTAAAAATAGTATTCAGAAACCATTGAAATATAGAGGGATTTTTCATAGACTAAATAGTATGATTCAGTTAATAGTATAACCTAACACAACTCAGTAGGCAGGACTCTCAGGCCTTGGGGAAGAGGTTGCACTATATGACTTCTGAGGTCCCTCCATTCCAACTCTATAATTTTATGATTGAGGGGTAGGGAGAGTTATAAAAAATACTCCACTTTCTATTTTCATATTTTTGTGTCCCATCATTATAGCATTTTGTGTACTTTAGTGGTAATCTTGAGAGTAGGGTTTGTCTTTTGTTGAGGGTTCATACAGAGAAAAAAAAATAACAGCACTTTTATAAATGATTTAAAGTTTACAACTCAATAAATAATTATGGGTGAGTTGAGTTTAAAAGCCACTTTCTTCATCACTGCCATGTGAGGTGGGGAGTATAAATCTTATTATTCCCATTTTACAGATGGAAAAGCTGAGGTTGAAAGTTAAGTGACTTCCACAGCTAGGAAGCATCAGAACTGGGACTAAATCTAGGTCTTCTGACTCTCAGGGTTTATGCCATTATGCTGTACTGAGTCTCATACTGACCATGCTTATGAATACAGATTGTTTCATTTTACACACACACACACACACACAACACACACGCACTTATATATGTATATATGTGTAAATATACACATACATATATCTATATACATACACATAAACATATATATCCCAAGGCACCTAGCACAGTGCGGAAGAAAGGTTTGTTAACTGGTTGATTGATTAATTTTAAGTGATGTGGAGTAAACAAATGGGAAATCTGAGTGATGAAGTAATGCATTGCTATTGGATAAGATTTACGGCATTTGTTGGAAGAAATTTCAAGAGAAAGAAGCCAACATGTGGAGTACATCTTGTTGTGACAATTAGTGTCTTTTAAGTACTTTCAAATCTTTGGAGATATGCCGTAAATACGTAGAATTTGCATTGAAATCCTTGAAGATAGTCTGTAAATACACAGAATTTGTACTTAATTGTACCCACGATTTTCCATGGTGCTCCTGTCTAGCCATAAACGAATGAAATGTCATGATGGACTTTTTGATCACCTTTGTTTAGCAAGAAATATTACAAACTTGTCTGGTAACAGCACATGATATGAATTTGTTTGAAGGGACTACAAAAGAAGATGAACTCACCTATTCCTTAGACAGTATCTTGTTATTTACCCTAATATTCTGTATGCTTTGTATTTAAGCCTTGGACCCAAACACTTGATTTTCTTGCCAGAATTATGATTTTTGTTTTCTTTTGGTTATTTATCATTATAAATAAAAAGTAGAAGGAAAAACAGTGAAACAGTCATGGTGTGCTCCTAGTTGTGAGGGGTGAAACATCTTTCCCATTTGACTGGATATGTCAGTGTATCTCTGGGTGTAACATATGGGGAAGACACCTAACTTTCTTCTCCTCTAGCAATTCTTTGCAGACTTATTCTAGGGCTACAACCTTTTTCTCAATATTTGAAGTCATTCATTTGGGTTTAGTATAAAAATCATTTGGGTTTTAATATAAATTGTGTAGAAGTTGATTTACTTTTCAATGACTTTCAAGGATGATCAGACTTTTTCTGCGTATGCCCATATCAATGCATTCCAAACTGCTTTTTTAGGAGCAGGTCCTGTTAGACCATGTCACCTCAAATAAGGGAATTTTGTTAATAAATCCATGAATTCTTAAGAAAATGTAATCTGTAGCTCAAATGGACATATAAATACACATGGATAAAGTATATAAGGTTCTCTTTTTCTACTTTTATTTCTTAAGCTGATTTCACTTACTGAATGTGAACTTTAGTTGTGCTTATTTTTTTTAAACAAACATAAATCCTCTGCATCAACTGGAAATATGTGGCAATTATGTACATTTAAAATTGTTGTTTATTAGTTTATTATTTTTGAGTCATAAATAATAAAATGTTGCAAAACCAGTAGATTCATAAACTACATGAACTGTGTACCCCAGCCCCCCTTTTCTTTCTCTTATCTTCTTTTCCCTTTCTCTTTCTCTTCATCATATTTCTCTAGCAAGTCTCCTTGGACCAACTCCTCATTCTCTCAGACTTCTATGGTTGGATGGAGATGTTACCAGTTCCATCCACATGGATCTGGCAAATAGAACCTTGAATGATGCTAAGAAGGAGGTTGGGTGGGATGAGTGTAGGATTAATATCATAATAATCATTCTACTTGGTCTGGTATTTAGCAAGTATTGTGAATGTGGCAGAAAATCTGCTGAAATGAGCTAATCTTTGATATATATCCTATCCCATGTTAAATGTTATGTAAAAAAAGCTAAAATAATTCTAAGCCTAACTTTTTCTTTTGTTTTTTTCTTTATTTGGGCATATAATGGGTATCATATGGAAGATGGAATCATCCCATTTAGTTCCCAATGCCTCCCAGGTCATTTTGCTCACCATTTGTGCCCATGCCAGAACAAAATCAAATTGACATGGACAAAATAGAGAATTTACCCTCTATCAACTACTTGGTAATTCTTACCCTGCCCAATTTAAAACTTTAAACTTTAATTTCTTTTAAGAGGGCCAAGGAGAGAAGAAAGCAAGTCTGGGAGTGATAAATGTTTTGTGGTTGCTTTTTTTTTCTAACGACTTTGGAACTGGATCATAAGAAATAAAAACACTTCAATGAAAGGTGGGTTAAGTAAAATGTAGTTGTAAAAAAAAGGAAAAAAATGGGAGGGAGTGATACTGTCTTTGCTTGACATGAAAAGAAAGTCTTGAACTGTAATTAGTTTCTACCATCTCGGAAGTGGAGTCCGTGGTCAACAAAGGACCACTATAATAGAGATCTGTAAGAAATTTATCATTCCCTCTGGCTGAGCAAAAGCAGGCTTGATATATAGTTTTGTTCAGTATAAATATTCTCGTGTTACTGTTTACTTTGTGGGAATATGAGGATCTCACTGACAGGCTACGTGCTCCAAAGCTTCGCTTTTCTAAAGCATTTCTTTGACTTGGTTGTTTGTACTTCCACAGAAACTTCAGGGCATAGCACAGAATTTGTCTGATAAGAATCCAGACTCTACAACCAGAGCATGTTGTGCTCTGGGGGCTAGAAAGGCTTATTGTTTTAAGCAAGCCTGCACATGGCTTTTAAGAAAATCTATTTTTCATAGGTATGAACAATTACTAAGAACAATCTCTAATAAAACATCTGCAACTATTCAGCTATGGTTAAAGCAAATGTTCCTATGCATATGGGATGTGCCCAGAGCACCTAGTCTGAATTTTGATCAGTTGGCTGCTTCCCCTTAATTTATGTGTATTTTCAGGTTTGTTCCCATAAAGCATTGATGTAGGTTGGTTTAGCATGATTTGGGAGTTGGAGCAGAGGCCTAAACATCGAAACCTGTTTATCCTCCAAGGTTCTTGGCAGGGAAAAAAGCCCCCAGACAGTCTAAGCATGAGATAATAGAGACACAACGATAGAGGCAGAAAATCTGCAGGATCATTAGAGTTCCTAATAAATGGTAGACAACTGGTCTATTCTCTTTGTCAGCTCCCTATTGTCTTATCTTTTTGTTTTCTTCTCT